TGTCTGCTGGTGTTGGAAATCACATTAGCTAAAGTACATCGCCCAAATGGGCATGATAAATAAAGGAAAATGACAGCACGCAGGCAGTGTTTACAACTCTGTGATGATGATGGCAAATGGTTCTAAATTAGATCAAACTTGTATAACGCCACTTCAACACAAAGGTGATGCTTATCTCATATAACAGAGCTTTACCACTTACCGTGACTTCTACCTTTGCTGATGCTCACATCTCTGTGACAGCAGGTGTCTTATGAGTACTATAAAAAGCATTTGGCAGGCACTTAGATAGTTACATGAACTGCTGGCTGGTGGTCAGATGAACCAAGCTGTTTGCTGTGTCTCTCTTCATATTGTCTGGTTGTCAGTCACTAAACCTGGGATGCAGCTCATGTTTCGATTAGCCACTCTATGAACACTGAATGTGGGACAACAAAGGAGTCTATAGCATGTGTGTTATTTCAGTCTCTCTCATGAAGTCCATTATGTGCCAGTACAAGAAAGTAAAAGAAAGCTTAAAAGCAGTCATCTGTTGATTTGATGTGTTCTGATGTAAAAGTCATAAAAGGGGGCATTTTTGAAAGATTTTATTTTTTTAGTTTATCTAATCTATATTTAAATTGAAACATTAAGATAGACTGACGGCCTGCCCTCGGTGTACCCTGGCCCTCGGTGTACCCTGCCTCTCACCTTATGACAGCTGGGAAAGTGATTTCCCGAAACTGTGGCTTGGATAACCAGTCATGAACATGGATGGATAGATTTCCACACAGTTACAGGCACAGTCTGTAAACACTGACAAGAGTAAACACATGATTCCTGAGCAGCAGTGCTGGAATGGGGAGAGTTCAGCACAAATAAGAAAGTTCACCACAAATACAACTTTAGCTATTTCTGAGATAAAATCCAACACATCTTTACTTTAATAAGAAAAGAAGAAGAAAGCAAACCTGGAAAAAAGAGATAATCTGTTTTAAACTTGCTGCAGCGATAACTGGGCAAAAGTGCTTACACAATCTGTCCCCATTAGTGTCTTAATGGACTATCAACCACAAATTCATTTTCCATCCCATTTACATTTATGCAAACATTACAGTCCTCACAGTTATATCACCATCTCAATACTACTCCCTGTTAGCTTTGAACAGAATGAGCACCAGACAAAAGACCAGAGGATCAAGTAGACTATTAGAGCGCAAAGATGGAGTTTTACCAAAACAACTTAAATCAACTAAGCCAAAGAGGACTGGTGAGCAGGGACCTCGGTTTTACACTATGCTCATGCGGTTAACCTGCACTCTTTTGTATGTACACCACTTATAAAACAAAGACTTTTATCATGAGGTTAGACACATCTGGAGGGTCTCTACACTTGTGCTAAAAGTGCTAATGGCTTGCCCATCTCTTTATCCATCTTCAACCTTATGTCTTTGCCATCAGCTTTTCAATGCTGCACAGCTCTGTACACACAATAACAACAACAAACAAGACCACTGGATGATGCTCCCTTCCATTTTATTAGAGCTTTTGAATATTTCATCACAGGACAATCTTCAGAGTCAGACTGCACATTTTCTTAGCAGGTTGAGAAGTGCACAAGGTCAGGTAGAGGGGAGGAAAAAAGGGGGAAAGATGAAAGGATAAAATGCAGAGAGGAAGCAGAAAGAAGCAGCAGCATCCCGACCGCCTGCAAGGCCTGCTGCGGTCCCATTCTCCTCTCTGTGGGCTCACACTGCTGGTTTTGCCTGATAGGACAATTTGCCACTTCATTACTAATTGATAATCGCCAGAGAGTAATGCTCATTAGTCCAAGTGCTGAATAGTACAGCTAGTGTGCTGACATTTTCTGTCGCTCCATAATGACTCTGTTGAAGCCGGCAAATTCATCTCCTCTTAATGCACTGTAAAAACAGGCGCCGTGCAGAACAGATGAAGGTAACGATATAAAGGGATTAAACTGTTTTTCATTTTTACATGCAAATCTCTAATGAATTATTCATTGAGATCAACACTTGTTATAAGAGGATTGTAGAAGCAGTGCATTCTTTGATTCATTTGCAAAACACTGAACCCGTTAACAAACTACGTCTTCATTTAGAAATCTTTCCTTTTCAGTCGCTTTAGAAACCTTAGTCATACTTTTCAAACACCCTGTGATGCAAAACTTTGGACTGAAACATTGTTTCAAAAATGGCCAGTAACCAATGCTGATGCTTTATTTCACACCCCGTGTAAAGGAAACAAAGGAATCTTGCAACAAAAAATATCTCTCCTTCCAACTCTTCACTGCACTTTTTTCCCCAGCACAAGATTATTGGTCAATTCAATTTGATTTAGTTTAATGAAATTTAGTTTAATTTAGTTGTATCTGGCTTAGAATAATCAAATTCTGGACATAGACTTCAGGCAATTCGTTGAGAACTGGAACTAAGAAGAAGTTCTACAGGAGGACAATGATCCTTCTTAAAAACTGGCATGAATGTTCGAATTGACTGCCATAATCTCCTGACTTGAACCTCACCAATTTATACAAAGGTGTGAAAACATCTCTTTGTATACCAAAAATACTTATTTAGAAACGAGCTAAAAAAATGCTCATTTCCAGCCCTTTATTTATTCTGTGTCTCCCCTGTAGAGTTAATAAAGGCTTTATGCAGCCTCTTAGTATATTCATAGTCTGAAACCAGTCAGTTTAGCTCATGTATCCTTAATGCACAGGTTCTTATATACATACTGATATATCCAGTCAAGCACTTTATACAGCATGTCTCATTCACCCATTCATACAAGCACTTTCTAAATTTCACACTCCAGTGAACACAATGGGGTAGTATCTTGCCAAAGGATATCGTAGCATGCAGACTGGAGCAGCAAGGGATCAAACCACCAGCCTTTTGATAAGTAGATGACCTGCTCTACCCCCTTAGCCACTCTCCCAGCCACTGGTCACCATTCAATGTCACCTGGTAAAAGATTCTCAAAATAAACTGTAAACCTACTAATTTTAATATGGCCCAATCTCCCCCAAGCCAAAATGTAACCCACAGAGTACAGAACCACCATCCCCACCAACACACATTACAGCACAATATCTATGTTAATACTGTTATTATCTGCTTATTGTCCAAAACAATGGTGAATTTATTCTTTGAATCATAAGTGTATTTATGTCCCTGTTTATAGGTTTAAATGCGGTACTGGTAACTGAAGTTGCAAACATCGGCAGTCAAACACACCATGTTTAATGTTCCTGAAACAAACATCGTGGACTCAAAAGCTTGGGCAGCATAACAAAGCTGAACAAAGCAGAACCAACCAGTTTGCCCTCAACTAGCAAAAGTAGCCAATCAGGCTCTGAGTTAGAAGGTCCATGGCCAATCAGCTGTGAAGACTTGTTTCTCCCATTTGGTGCAGTCACACTCTGCTGCCCTTTACAACACCTCTGGGCTCCGTGTGCTCTTCTGGCAGCCAGCACTCTGCCAGCTGGAATAATATTGTGTAATTGTTATTGACATATTGTAACTGGGAAATGATAAGCAAGAAAGTTCTCCCCTCCTCCTCTGTAAAATTAACAGCTTGTGACATGCTGGTGGGCTCCATGAAGAGTCAAGCTGACAGCTGAAGTCAAGAGGGTTACTTTTCAGCTCCACAGAGCAGGGCTTAGAAATAGTCACAGCTATTAACAAATGTAATACTGCTCTCTGTTGCTCATCAATATTAAGCTATGCAAGTCACATTTATTACCTGCAGCGTTAAATGAGACATTACTTATCCCTACCTAGTTGGATCCCATTTTTGCTTTCATAACTACCAAAAGTCTTTGTGGCACAGATTTGAGAAGGTGCTGAAAAAATTCCTCAGAAACTATGGTCCGTATTGACATGACAGTCAATATGGCACAATCTCCTGTTTCACCGTATCACAAAGGTGTTCTATCGGATTGAGATCAGTCACCAGATCTTAGTGAAGTCATTTATTTTGCAGTGAAACACACGTCCAAGAAACCAGTTTGAGCTTTATTACATGCTGGATTCAGTCATAGGAAGATGAGTTCACTGTGGTGATAAAAGATGGATGTGGGCAGCACCAATGCTTACATAGGCCGTGGTATTTAGATGGTGCTTAGCTGGTATTGAGGGGCACAAACCATGATAAGAAAATATGCCCCACAACACTACACACCCACCACCAGCAGCCTGAACCTTTGATACAAAGCTGGATGGGTCATTGTTTTCATGCTTTTTACATTTAATTTTGACCCTACCATCCAAATTTCACAGCAAAACTAAAGATTTCATCAAACTAGGCTAAGTTTTCTCAATCTTCTATTCCCTTCACAGATAGGACTGAAAGCTGGAATTGTTGTTCTGCTGCTGTAGCAGTTCTAGTTCAAGCTTTGTTAGGTTGTGCGTTCGAAGATGCTCTTCTGCTTACTTTGGTTGTGATTATTTGACTTAGTCTTGTCTTTCTGATCTGTGGCATCAAAAAGCCATTTTCAGCCAGAGACCTGCTGATTACTGGTCATGGTTATGCAGGGAAACCCCAGCAGTTTTTGAAATTGTAAGGCAGGCTGATCTGGCACCGCAGCCAAAGCCAGTCCCTGTCATCGCTATTCAGAGGCTCAGTTTGAACTAAATGGCTAAATGTGCTGACTTGCTATCGGCTGATACATAGTTATATTGTTTGATAACGTAATAATGCAAATTGTGAAATTACCTTTCACAGTAATGCAACTCTGCTATTGGCTTACAGTTATTTCATTGTGATTTTTTTATTGTGAGTGGTGGTATGTGTCACCTCAAAAGAAATTAGAACTGTATATACTGTATATACTGTACAATAAGATTGTACAGTATTCAGTATAAGAATTTTTTACCCTTAAAAAGGCTGGAAAACTTTTTTTGAACTTCGTTTACAAACTGTATCTGATAATGCACCTTCACAAACGCATGAACATAGTTTGAAAATGAACTGATGTACTGAAAATGTATTCATATTACCTTTCATCACTCCCATGTCCAGGGTCTTTCCCAGCTGCTCCAGGAGATCTGCTCTGGCAGCGTTCTTCTTGTGCTTTTTGCCATCATAATGTTGCTGAGCCATGCCAGGGTTGTTGAACCAGGCGTTGCATAGCTGGCAGTAGCGGTCTGAGTCACGGCGCTGTCGTGGGGAGGTCATAGGAGATGCTTCTGGGGAGGTCTTAACAGGACTGGGGGATGCCTCTGAAAGTAAAACAACAATGATACAGATGTCTCTTGGTGATCTAGTGATAGTTTTGTAAACAAAACAAATCTGCTAAGACACTACTACTTTTTAAATAATCTCCTTTACGGCATTTTATGTAATCTGGGAGCCCCTTGCCTTATACAAAGCAGAAAATTTACATATTTGACATGACCACAGTACGCCACTGGACAGAGATAGAGCCCAGCAAATTCATTGTTGGGTCAATTTTCTCAGCCAATATTAACAACTCGCTGATCTATCGGTAACGACGTTAAGAATGATTTATAGAGAAGAGAGAAAGAACGCTCAGCCATGAGTGTTGATGCTGCATAGCTTGTCCACCACAGGGCACTTTGCAAACAAATGTTTAAGTGCCACAAACAAAGTAACCAGATGACGTGAATAGAGTCAGACAAGACATAAACAAGTAAAAAAGTAACTACACTTAAGTGTTAGGGAAATGTGATTATGCTTTTTTTTTAGGCTAATAAATTGGCATTTCAGGGTTGGTATCAGTTTGAAAAATAATATATTGATCAGTCTCCACAGTATCCGCCTCCAGTAAAGCATAATCACACTCTGATTTAATATTATTTCTAGGATGCTTTATGATAGAGTGTCCAGGACATTTGTCTAGCAGCCCACCAGTTTTACCTACAGTCTTTACTTTCCATATTTGGCTCTTCACGCAGATAAGCTGCATAAAATTACTATAAATACTTTCTTACACTAAGTCTGTGAAGGTTCTCAGTCATCCAGGTCATCAGAGTCTAAGGCGCTTGGAAAGAAAAGCGTCTGGACTTCTTCAAGTTTCCTTGAAGACGTTTCACCTCCGATCCGAGAAGCTTCTTCAGTTCTAAGAGCCATTGGTGGAGAGTCCCAGATTTTAAGCCCTATGGGAGTGTCCGCAAGAGGGTCATGGACCCCCCATTGATCCTCTACCTAATCACACGGGCTAAAGTGTGAAAACAGGTGTGGGTTACAACTAGCAAAAGTTTCAGGTAACCCATTGTGAAACCTAGCCCCACCCTATCATGTGATTTACTGAGGTCATATGGCCCGGGATGTGAGTGGGCAGTAAGGCGTTTGGGAGGGATCTCAAACTCTCCACCAATTACTCTTTTGAACCGAAGAAGCTTTTCGGATGAGAGGTGAAATGTCGTCAAGGAAACTTAAAGAAAACCAGACGCTTTCCTTTCCAAGCTCCTTAGACTTTCTTACACTAAGTTAACCTCAAATTTCAGAGAAAGAAGTATGACTGAAAAAAACTAACAATGTATGATACAGCTTTAATTTCATATTTTGAAGAAACAAATACAAAGCAAAAGCAATCACAGTGACTTGAGTAAAAGATTGAAACACCAGGTCAACTTTTTTGTGTGTGTAACAGCTTTAAACGTTTGGAAAAAAATAAATAAAAATAAGTGTAAAACTCAAACAACAAAACAAAATAAATACATAACCACATATCAAATTATCTTCTAACTGAGACTCATAAACGTAAGAAGCAGATCTGAACTATCTAACTAAGCTGTCAGAAATATGAAATCATTTCCAGTGGTTACGAAATGAAAAAGCTTGTGATTGTTCAGGGGAAAAGCACACTCTGACTTGCATGAATTCACTCTCTTACTTCAGGAGAATCTAAAACACTATGGAGGATTTTATGGTTTATTAAAATGGGCCCATTATGTTAGGCTTAACTCTCAAACCACTGGTAGCTTGTGGGCTAACTACTAACCTGATCTGGCCTCACAGTCAAATTTTCATCTTTATTATTCATACATTTTTGTCTCAGATGAAGAAGAGGCATGAAGAGGTACTACAGCTTAAACAGTAGTCTAAGGTATTGCCATTCGACAATGGGTGCTAATTTGTACCCATGTGGTTTTGATTCAAGTACCACTTCTGATTCTTGGCAACATTTTTTAGTATAAAGTTAAAGAATGACTATTTTTTTTGAAATATTATTATTTAATGAGTTGAAACAGGGAGGCATTTGTAAAATACTTGCTTGTTCTTACTGAACCCTTGAATCTTCTTTCTCTCATATCTGCCTCAGACAAGCAGACAGCAAAGCAAAGACTGAACCTAGAACCTTCTTCCTGAATTTTGCCCAAATGCTTTTTATCAAGTCTAAGAGTTAAATCAATATGCTAACTTGTTTGTTTACTAGACCCCAAACAGACTGTCTCCTCAAACTGCAATTATTTAAACCAAGAAACACCTTTTAGCTTCTTGGGAATATATTTACCTTTTTAACACTGGGTACACTGTACCTGTATGGATACAAACAGACTTTTGACATTAGTTGTCATGGACTGACATAACTGATAGCAAAACAAAACAACAAAATTTAAGGACACAAATAATAAGAACAAGGTGTTCTCTGTGTTTCTAAACCATAACTTGATTTTAATGTCTGACATGACTTTTAATGCTTTTGAAATCCAGCTAATTAACTTGGGTTCTGTATCATCATGACACTTCATGTCTTTTTGGCTTATGTCAAACAGTAAACATAATGTACAAGTCCTGAAAGGGTGCTGCGAACATAATGGTGATATAATAACCCAAAATGTCACATTTTTGCTAAGACAAATGTGAGAAACTATAAATGCTCAGGAAAAACACTGCCCAGGAAAAAAAAACTTTAAAATGAGCTACATTAGCAACATTTTGCCAGCTTTTTTAAAGAAAAGATTTGTAGCTGGCAGACAGAGCACAATGGGACGGCTTTAATGAGCGCTGATCAGCGGCAACGTAACTGTGGCCGTGCAAGTGTAGCCCTCTGAATAACAAGCTGTTATCTCCATTAGATGCCTAAAGAGGAAAACCTAAATTCTACTTGGCAAACGGAAGAGAAGCCAGCTCTTCTTGGGGCTGCCCACTTGTGCCTTCACGCATGGATGACGGCATTAACCCCCGAACGAGCATCGTGCTGCAACGAGCACTCCCCAACACGAAGAAGCCCTATCAGCTTAATCAGTTTTAACGCTCCACTGCACAGCTCACCCTAAGTCAACATTTAGTTTTGTCCCATTAGCTTCCATTACACCAGTCAACATTTCAAAATAGCAAAGTCCAGTGAAAAACATGGCGGGAGAGAGGATGTATGGAGCCTGAAGTGTCAGGACTCGCTGTCTGCTGAGCACAGCTGGCCCTCAGTGAGGCCGTTTGCATTACACTTTACATTCAGTGCTTGGCTCATTCGCCCCTCCACAGCAAAAGGATGTTATGTAGGATTTAAATGTTGGACTTTACGGTTATAGAGTGACCCCCACTATAATAGGCCAATGTAAACTGTCAGACTCAATTTAATCCCTGCAGCTGCTTTTGCAAGCAGGTCAGAGGTCAGCAGCATAACAGCAGCCCTGGAGCTGAGAGAAATGTAACGCCTTGCTCAAAGAGAGGGGATTGCATTTCTGCAACCCAAATATAAAGACTACTAGGAAATCTATAGGCAGACTAATGCAGCCTCGGATTAAAGCAGGAAAAAAAGCTCTAAATTTACGAAGAACTAAAAGCGTAATACTCAGATGCAACACTCCCCCAAAAGCACAGCTCCTGGTATCATAACATTCAGGCGATTTCCAGACACAGTGATGACAGAATGAAAGAAGTTAGAGCGAATGGGAACTCAAAAGAGGTTAAATGTTTACTGTTTGCTGAGATAAAGACGTGAGAGAACAGAAAGAAGGTTAATTATTCTCACAGTACACTTCTGCACTCCAGACTGTTCAAAGAAAGGCAGCATCTCAAATATTGTTTTAAAGTTAATACAGCATTTTTGGTAAACATGTTAATTATCACTACAATGCTGTCAACATCTCTCAAGTTGTTTTATCATTTAAATGGAGAACAAAATAAAAAGTCCATGAGAAGCAGTGCACACATATTTAATTGAACACCTGTATGTAGCTAATGACTCTGCAGAAAGCCTCAGGATCTGCTGACCCCACTCTATCACGACTTACCACTAACAGTTGAACATGGAAAATTTAGTAGTAAGGAAATTCAAAACTGGACTTTTGCACAGGTAGCATCTTATTATAATACCACTCCTGAGAGCGTTTCATTCTTTCAAAAATGTTTGTAGAAGCAGTCTGCATTTTATACACCTGTGGCCATGGAGATGATTGGCACATCTGAATTAACATCTGATTTAGATGCAGGAGTGAATTTACAGTGCTTCAATCTGCCCACAGTTGCTGCTCATCTGCAAGCTGCTTTTCAACCCACCTCCTCCTTTCACACCTCCCAGCACTGGGCCGTACCACCAGATACAAATTATCGCAGATAGAAATGTCAGCCTTGTTTTGACTATAGTGGTCTTGACAGATTTCTGGTAATTGGCTCTTAGATTTCTGTTGCACGTCAAACAGTGTTGATTATTCGATTAAATTTATCGCATGTGAAAAATTCCCAAAAGAGGAGAGACTCTGGAAAAATAATTTGCTGCAAATAGTCAGGAATTAGAGGGGCATGATTATATGGCCTAAGCAAAGATTATTTATCATCATCAGTGCAGCCTCTCCATATAGTATCTTCCTCCAGCAAAGCATAATCACACTCTGATTTAATATTCTTTCTAGTAGGCTTTATGACAGAGTGTCCAGGCCATTTGTCTAGCAGCCCACCAGTTTTACCTAAAGTCTTTACTTTCCATATGTGGCTCCTGACTCATAACACACTGTGTTATTACAGGATGGGTCTTTGGCATCAAATAACCCAGCAGGCACATAAAGGACTGAAAGCCTTTCCTCCCATTTAGAGCATCATTAAATCCACACTGTCAAACACCCCTCTGTGCTTTGATTGAGGGTTCAGTTCACTTCAGGAGGCAGGGGTCGTCACCATCACTAAGAGACAGATGGCTTCAGCTTGATGTGGCACCTGCTGTGTAAAGGACACTTTAAACTCAATGAAAAGGGCCCTGCTTCTCAATGTTACAGGTTTAAGTATCATCTGGATAAATATGGAAAGTTTTTTTCCG